CTGTCTAAAACTTTGAAAAACAGTTTTGTGTTTTTGGAATCGACTCTGAAGATGAGAAATGTAGGTGTCGAGAAAAGGTATGTAAAATGCGATTTTTATTTCAATCTCGTATTCCGAACAAATTTCAGAAACTTTTTTATAAACAATTTGGAAGCATAAATCCTCGTTTTCACGCTTTTACATGGCGTCGTTCAAAGCATCATTAGCCAATTTCATGGCCTCTCCCAGGTCTTGATTTTTCAATTACAATCTTGACTCAATCGGGAGTCGGATCGGATTACAATCGACTCAAGTTTACCCAAAGCGGGAAAACCATCACACTGCACCCCTAAGGACTTCAGACCTATAAGCCTGTCGTCCTTCCTCCTCAAGACAATGGAGAGAGCCTCCACATTAATCTTTCCATCAACCCAGATGATATCTCGGGATCACAGCATGCGTATAGGAAGGACCGATCCACAGAGACGGCACTTCACGAGATCACTACCTTCGTCGAAAACGAAGTCACTTAGTGACAAGGAATACGCACACATTGCTTTTCTAGACATAGAAGGTGCGTTCAACAACATCCTGCCATGCTCGATAATCAATGCAGAAGTAAGTGTTCCAAGCAGAAGTAATAGCTATCGGAGAAGCACTATGATCTCTAGCACTTACTGGCAATCAAGACACAATCTGTATCTTTTCAGACAGTCAAGCGGAACTCAAAGCCCTTGGCGATTTTTCATCCAACTCCAGGACAGTGAATGACTGTCGCAGATCTTTTAACGAGATGGCAGAACAGCATGACATCCACCTCATATGGTTGCCCGGACATAGGGACCACGAGGGAAATTGCGCCGCTGATGAACTAGCAAGGGCAGGTACTACCAATCCTCTCCTCCCAGAGAAGGAACTTGTAAGCATTCCCTTAGCTACATGTAGGCTAAGATGCAGAGATCACTTTGACCGCGTTGCACTGAGGAAATAGAGAAATCTCCAAAACTGCAGGAACTGACGCATGATATGGTCTATCCGCTCTAGGAAAAGATCAATGATGCTTATCACTCTCATTAGGCAGGACAGCAGTCTTGCAGCCAAGGCCATCACTAGGTGGTTAGATTAGCGGTGCCACACTATGATTACTGCAGGAGCTGTGGGGATGTAGAAGAGGAAGAGACCGCCGCACACCTCCTGTGTCATTGCACTCACGGACCTAACACACCTCGCTCCACGCAGACTTGTTACCTTCATCCGGGAAGCTTGATGGGACCGCGAGCCGCAGGAAAAATAGCACACTCTTGGGCACATTAGTAGATAGGAGGGGGAGGTCCCCTTGTAAGACCTCTTGCCTATGCGGTATCATATGTAGCCCCGGCGGCTCAAGTGGATGGGGGTGTCAGTGACTGGCCCCGCATCGTCGCCTCAACTTAACATAACTCATTTCTATTGTCATTGCATTTGTTCTTTGGTTTGTAGTTTCATATCAAAGGAAAATTTAACTTGATAATCTGAAATGACCTCCAAATGTGTATCCGAAGTAGAACTTACCTACACCATTTCAAAGGGATGGCAGTCATTTTTTTTTTATCCACCTTGTTTCACTAGGGAAAAATATTATGCTTAGCTAGCTCCCTTATTGAACAATACTGTTTTTTTTTGTTAAGCTCTCATCCATAAGAAGAGCTACAGCTTCATCGGTCAATACTGTCTCAGGATTGAAAATTATGTCTTAGTAAATTTTGGATACCTTTCGTATAAGTTAACTAATAACTTCTTCTAATTTTCTAAATTAAAGGATCTGACCTCAATCCAAATATAAAAAAAAGTGCAAAAAAGTGTGCGTTCATTTAAAAGATAACGAAACGCAGTCAAAATTTATTGAAACTATTTTTGTTACTCCGTTTGAAAATAATACTTTGTTTTACCTTTTTCCTTTTCAGGGGGTACACAAATACACACATTTCAAAAACAACACAAACAATTCTTACAATTGACACCAGTGGCGGATCCACGAGGCGGGGGTTTTCGGGTCCGGAACCCCTCATGGTATCTTATACTTTCAAATTTTATGCTTTTATTGGGCATTTTGGTGAAGTTGAAACACAAAAATATTAATAGAATTTCGTAATTTATTTTCGAATAGTTAATGCAATAGAAGATAATAACAAAGAGGATAATTACGAATTTAATCAATATGACTGATCAAGAAAAAATATATGTTCCACAAACAATTCTAGTCGCTCTTAAATTTTCTTATGGTTTTTAAAAAAACTTTCTAAGAATTTCGTCTTCAGTCAAAGTTATGCGATGATGAATGTTCAAAGATACAAGACTATTGATACGCTCTTGACCCATCGTGTTTCTCAGATAATCTTTCATTCTCCATTTTCAAAGTAGAAAATTATCGTTCTGAAGTTGCTGGGGTCACGGGTATCACCGCCAAAACTCGTAGGATTTTGTTTGCGGTTTTTGAAAGTTATTCCATTTATGATCTGCAAAAATTCCTTCTATTTAGATTTTCAATGGATATTATTTACTTTACTTTGTTTCAAATTGCACCAAAAATATCTCTTACTCAATTAATTGTCAATAAGTCGTGATTTAGTGATTAGTGATTTTTCTCTGATTCTTTTAAATTAAAAATTTTGTTTTTAAATTAAATAGAAAATAAATGATAATCTATTAGTATTATAATCAATCAGATTTTTGGTACAATATATAAGAAACCTGGCATTATTTTTTAGCCAAATATTATCTGGGAATTTGGGAGATACTCACTGCTAACTGCACTGTTTTGATTGCAGATCCGTTGTCTCCACATTTTGACTTATGAAATGAAATTACTCTCGGAACAATCCAGTATTACTTGGTTAAATTGGTAGAGGCTTGCACATTTCTTCTCGTCGAATCCTTGTTTGAGGAATAGCTGTCCAAAACTTTGAAAAACTGTTTTGTGTTTTTGGAATCGACTCTGAAGATGAGAAATGTAGGTGTCGAGAAAAGGTATGTAAAATGCGATTTTTATTTCAATCTCGTATTCCGAACAAATTTCAGAAACTTTTTATAAACAATTTGGAAGCATAAATCCTCGTTTTCACGCTTTTACATGGCGTCGTTCAAAGCATCATTAGCCAATTTCATGGCCTCTCCCAGGTCTTGATTTTTCAATTACAATCTTGACTCAATCGGGAGTCGGATCGGATTACAATCGACTCAAGTTTACCCAAAGCGGGAAAACCATCACACTGCACCCCTAAGGACTTCAGACCTATAAGCCTGTCGTCCTTCCTCCTCAAGACAATGGAGAGAGCCTCCACATTAATCTTTCCATCAACCCAGATGATATCTCGGGATCACAGCATGCGTATAGGAAGGACCGATCCACAGAGACGGGACTTCACGAGATCACTACCTTCGTCGAAAAGGCACTTAGTGACAAGGAATACGCACACATTGCTTTTCTAGACATAGAAGGTGCGTTCAACAACATCCTGCCATGCTCGATAATCAATGCAGAAGTAAGTGTTCCAAGCAGAAGTAATAGCTATCGGAGAAGCACTATGATCTCTAGCACTTACTGGCAATCAAGACACAATCTGTATCTTTTCAGACAGTCAAGCGGAACTCAAAGCCCTTGGCGATTTTTCATCCAACTCCAGGACAGTGAATGACTGTCGCAGATCTTTTAACGAGATGGCAGAACAGCATGACATCCACCTCATATGGTTGCCCGGACATAGGGACCACGAGGGAAATTGCGCCGCTGATGAACTAGCAAGGGCAGGTACTACCAATCCTCTCCTCCCAGAGAAGGAACTTGTAAGCATTCCCTTAGCTACATGTAGGCTAAGATGCAGAGATCACTTTGACCGCGTTGCACTGAGGAAATAGAGAAATCTCCAAAACTGCAGGAACTGACGCATGATATGGTATATCCGCTCTAGGAAAAGATCAATGATGCTTATCACTCTCATTAGGCAGGACTGCAGTCTTGCAGCCAAGGCCATCACTAGGTGGTTAGATTAGCGGTGCCACACTATGATTACTGCAGGAGCTGTGGGGATGTAGAAGAGGAAGAGACAGCCGCACACCTCCTGTGTCATTGCACTCACGGACCTAACACACCTCGCTCCACGCAGACTTGTTACCTTCATCCGGGAAGCTTGATGGGACCGCGAGCCGCAGGAAAAATAGCACACTCTTGGGCACATTAGTAGATAGGAGGGGGAGGTCCCCTTGTAAGACCTCTTGCCTATGCGGTATCATATGTAGCCCCGGCGGCTCAAGTGGATGGGGGTGTCAGTGACTGGCCCCGCATCGTCGCCTCAACTTAACATAACTCATTTCTATTGTCATTGCATTTGTTCTTTGGTTTGTAGTTTCATATCAAAGGAAAATTTAACTTGATAATCTGAAATGACCTCCAAATGTGTATCCGAAGTAGAACTTACCTACACCATTTCAAAGGGATGGCAGTCATTTTTTTTTTATCCACCTTGTTTCACTAGGGAAAAATATTATGCTTAGCTAGCTCCCTTATTGAACAACAACACTGTTTTTTTTTGTTAAGCTCTCATCCATAAGAAGAGCTACAGCTTCATCGGTCAATACTGTCTCAGGATTGAAAATTATGTCTTAGTAGATTTGGGATACCTTTCGTATAAGTTAACTAATAACTTCTTCTAATTTTCTAAATTAAAGGATCTGACCTCAATCCAAATATAAAAAAAAAGTGCAAAAAAGTGTGCGTTCATTTAAAAGAGAACGAAACACAGTCAAAATTTATTGAAACTATTTTTGTTACTCCGTTTGAAAATAATACTTTGTTTTACCTTTTTCCTTTTCAGGGGGTACACCAATACACACATTTCAAAAACAACACAAACAATTCTTACAATTGACACCAGTGGCGGATCCACGAGGCGGGGGTTTTCGGGTCCGGAACCCCTCATGGTATCTTATACTTTCAAATTTTATGCTTTTATTGGGCATTTTGGTGAAGTTGAAACACAAAAATATTAATAGAATTTCGTAATTTATTTTCGAATAGTTAATGCAATAGAAGATAATAACAAAGAGGATAATTACGAATTTAATCAATATGACTGATCAAGAAAAATATATGTTCCACAAACAATTCTAGTCGCTCTTAAATTTTCTTATGGTTTTTAAAAAAACTTTCTAAGAATTTCGTCTTCAGTCAAAGTTATGCGATGATGAATGTTCAAAGATACAAGACTATTGATACGCTCTTGACCCATCGTGTTTCTCAGATAATCTTTCATTCTCCATTTTCAAAGTAGAAAATTATCGTTCTGAAGTTGCTGGGGTCACGGGTATCACCGCCAAAACTCGTAGGATTTTGTTTGCGGTTTTTGAAAGTTATTCCATTTATGATCTGCAAAAATTCCTTCTATTTAGATTTTCAATGGATATTATTTACTTTACTTTGTTTCAAATTGCACCAAAAATATCTCTTACTCAATTAATTGTCAATAAGTCGTGATTTAGTGATTAGTGATTTTTCTCTGATTCTTTTAAATTAAAAAATTTTGTTTTTAAATTAAATAGAAAATAAATGATAATCTATTAGTATTATAATCAATCAGATTTTTTGGTACAATATATGAGAAACCTGGCATTATTTTTTAGCCAAATATTATCTGGGAATTTGGGAGATACTCACTGCTAATGCATCAAGTGCATTTTCGATGTTTTGATTGCAGATCCGTTGTCTCCACATTTTGACTTATGAAATGAAATTACTCTCGGAACAATCCAGTATTACTTGGTTAAATTGGTAGAGGCTTGCACATTTCTTCTCGTCGAATCCTTGTTTGAGGAATAGCTGTCCAAAACTTTGAAAAACAGTTTTGTGTTTTTGGAATCGACTCTGAAGATGAAAAATGTAGGTGTCGAGAAAAGGTATGTAAAATGCGATTTTGTAATACTCTTCAACTGTTTTCGCTTCAACGTTGCAACGATTATTTTGTCGACTGCATCGACGAGGTATTTTTATTTCAATCTCGTATTCCGAACAAATTTCAGAAACTCCGCTCTAGGAAAAGATCAATGATGCTTATCACTCTCATTAGGCAGGACAGCAGTCTTGCAGCCAAGGCCATCACTAGGTGGTTAGATTAGCGGTGCCACACTATGATTACTGCAGGAGCTGTGGGGATGTAGAAGAGGAAGAGACCGCCGCACACCTCCTGTGTCATTGCACTCACGGACCTAACACACCTCGCTCCACGCAGACTTGTTACCTTCATCCGGGAAGCTTGATGGGACCGCGAGCCGCAGGAAAAATAGCACACTCTTGGGCACATTAGTAGATAGGAGGGGGAGGTCCCCTTGTAAGACCTCTTGCCTATGCGGTATCATATGTAGCCCCGGCGGCTCAAGTGGATGGGGGTGTCAGTGACTGGCCCCGCATCGTCGCCTCAACTTAACATAACTCATTTCTATTGTCATTGCATTTGTTCTTTGGTTTGTAGTTTCATATCAAAGGAAAATTTAACTTGATAATCTGAAATGACCTCCAAATGTGTATCCGAAGTAGAACTTACCTACACCATTTCAAAGGGATGGCAGTCATTTTTTTTTATCCACCTTGTTTCACTAGGGAAAAATATTATGCTTAGCTAGCTCCCTTATTGAACAACACTGTTTTTTTTTGTTAAGCTCTCATCCATAAGAAGAGCTACAGCTTCATCGGTCAATACTGTCTCAGGATTGAAAATTATGTCTTAGTAGATTTTGGATACCTTTCGTATAAGTTAACTAATAACTTCTTCTAATTTTCTAAATTAAAGGATCTGACCTCAATCCAAATATAAAAAAAAAGTGCAAAAAAGTGTGCGTTCATTTAAAAGAGAACGAAACACAGTCAAAATTTATTGAAACTATTTTTGTTACTCCGTTTGAAAATAATACTTTGTTTTACCTTTTTCCTTTTCAGGGGGTACACAAATACACACATTTCAAAAACAACACAAACAATTCTTACAATTGACACCAGTGGCGGATCCACGAGGCGGGGGTTTTCGGGTCCGGAACCCCTCATGGTATCATATACTTTCAAATTTTATGCTTTTATTGGGCATTTTGGTGAAGTTGAAACACAAAAATATTAATAGAATTTCGTAATTTATTTTCGAATAGTTAATGCAATAGAAGATAATAACAAAGAGGATAATTACGAATTTAATCAATATGACTGATCAAGAAAAAATATATGTTCCACAAACAATTCTAGTCGCTCTTAAATTTTCTTATGGTTTTTAAAAAAACTTTCTAAGAATTCAGTCAAAGTTATGCGATGATGAATGTTCAAAGATACAAGACTATTGATACGCTCTTGACCCATCGTGTTTCTCAGATAATCTTTCATTCTCCATTTTCAAAGTAGAAAATTATCGTTCTGAAGTTGCTGGGGTCACGGGTATCACCGCCAAAACTCGTAGGATTTTGTTTGCGGTTTTTGAAAGTTATTCCATTTATGATCTGCAAAAATTCCTTCTATTTAGATTTTCAATGGATATTATTTACTTTACTTTGTTTCAAATTGCACCAAAAATATCTCTTACTCAATTAATTGTCAATAAGTCGTGATTTAGTGATTAGTGATTTTTCTCTGATTCTTTTAAATTAAAAATTTTGTTTTTAAATTAAATAGAAAATAAATGATAATCTATTAGTATTATAATCAATCAGATTTTTTGGTACAATATATGAGAAACCTGGCATTATTTTTTAGCCAAATATTATCTGGGAATTTGGGAGATACTCACTGCTAATGCATCAAGTGCATTTTCGATGTTTTGATTGCAGATCCGTTGTCTCCACATTTTGACTTATGAAATGAAATTACTCTCGGAACAATCCAGTATTACTTGGTTAAATTGGTAGAGGCTTGCACATTTCTTCTCGTCGAATCCTTGTTTGAGGAATAGCTGTCCAAAACTTTGAAAAACAGTTTTGTGTTTTTGGAATCGACTCTGAAGATGAAAAATGTAGGTGTCGAGAAAAGGTATGTAAAATGCGATTTTGTAATACTCTTCAACTGTTTTCGCTTCAACGTTGCAACGATTATTTTGTCGACTGCATCGACGAGGTATTTTTATTTCAATCTCGTATTCCGAACAAATTTCAGAAACTCCGCTCTAGGAAAAGATCAATGATGCTTATCACTCTCATTAGGCAGGACAGCAGTCTTGCAGCCAAGGCCATCACTAGGTGGTTAGATTAGCGGTGCCACACTATGATTACTGCAGGAGCTGTGGGGATGTAGAAGAGGAAGAGACCGCCGCACACCTCCTGTGTCATTGCACTCACGGACCTAACACACCTCGCTCCACGCAGACTTGTTACCTTCATCCGGGAAGCTTGATGGGACCGCGAGCCGCAGGAAAAATAGCACACTCTTGGGCACATTAGTAGATAGGAGGGGGAGGTCCCCTTGTAAGACCTCTTGCCTATGCGGTATCATATGTAGCCCCGGCGGCTCAAGTGGATGGGGGTGTCAGTGACTGGCCCCGCATCGTCGCCTCAACTTAACATAACTCATTTCTATTGTCATTGCATTTGTTCTTTGGTTTGTAGTTTCATATCAAAGGAAAATTTAACTTGATAATCTGAAATGACCTCCAAATGTGTATCCGAAGTAGAACTTACCTACACCATTTCAAAGGGATGGCAGTCATTTTTTTTTATCCACCTTGTTTCACTAGGGAAAAATATTATGCTTAGCTAGCTCCCTTATTGAACAACACTGTTTTTTTTTGTTAAGCTCTCATCCATAAGAAGAGCTACAGCTTCATCGGTCAATACTGTCTCAGGATTGAAAATTATGTCTTAGTAGATTTTGGATACCTTTCGTATAAGTTAACTAATAACTTCTTCTAATTTTCTAAATTAAAGGATCTGACCTCAATCCAAATATAAAAAAAAAGTGCAAAAAAGTGTGCGTTCATTTAAAAGAGAACGAAACACAGTCAAAATTTATTGAAACTATTTTTGTTACTCCGTTTGAAAATAATACTTTGTTTTACCTTTTTCCTTTTCAGGGGGTACACAAATACACACATTTCAAAAACAACACAAACAATTCTTACAATTGACACCAGTGGCGGATCCACGAGGCGGGGGTTTTCGGGTCCGGAACCCCTCATGGTATCATATACTTTCAAATTTTATGCTTTTATTGGGCATTTTGGTGAAGTTGAAACACAAAAATATTAATAGAATTTCGTAATTTATTTTCGAATAGTTAATGCAATAGAAGATAATAACAAAGAGGATAATTACGAATTTAATCAATATGACTGATCAAGAAAAAATATATGTTCCACAAACAATTCTAGTCGCTCTTAAATTTTCTTATGGTTTTTAAAAAAACTTTCTAAGAATTCAGTCAAAGTTATGCGATGATGAATGTTCAAAGATACAAGACTATTGATACGCTCTTGACCCATCGTGTTTCTCAGATAATCTTTCATTCTCCATTTTCAAAGTAGAAAATTATCGTTCTGAAGTTGCTGGGGTCACGGGTATCACCGCCAAAACTCGTAGGATTTTGTTTGCGGTTTTTGAAAGTTATTCCATTTATGATCTGCAAAAATTCCTTCTATTTAGATTTTCAATGGATATTATTTACTTTACTTTGTTTCAAATTGCACCAAAAATATCTCTTACTCAATTAATTGTCAATAAGTCGTGATTTAGTGATTAGTGATTTTTCTCTGATTCTTTTAAATTAAAAAATTTTGTTTTTAAATTAAATAGAAAATAAATGATAATCTATTAGTATTATAATCAATCAGATTTTTGGTACAATATATGAGAAACCTGGCATTATTTTTTAGCCAAATATTATCTGGGAATTTGGGAGATACTCACTGCTAATGCATCAAGTGCATTTTCGATGTTTTGATTGCAGATCCGTTGTCTCCACATTTTGACTTATGAAATGAAATTACTCTCGGAACAATCCAGTATTACTTGGTTAAATTGGTAGAGGCTTGCACATTTCTTCTCGTCGAATCCTTGTTTGAGGAATAGCTGTCCAAAACTTTGAAAAACAGTTTTGTGTTTTTGGAATCGACTCTGAAGATGAAAAATGTAGGTGTCGAGAAAAGGTATGTAAAATGCGATTTTGTAATACTCTTCAACTGTTTTCGCTTCAACGTTGCAACGATTATTTTGTCGACTGCATCGACGAGGTATTTTTATTTCAATCTCGTATTCCGAACAAATTGCAGAAACTTTTTGATAAACAATTTGGAAGCATAAATCCTCGTTTTCACGCATGGCGTCGTTCAAAGCATCATTAGCCAATTTCATGGCCTCTCCTATTTCTTTCAACGCTTCAATAACAGCCGGTTGAAGTTCGACGTATCTTAATATAGCTTCATGAGACTGTGCCCATTTTTATTTTCTTTGCTCACTTTTCTCTGACATTTTTGAAATTTTGTTCTTAAAGAAGCTTTGTCTTTTGGGCCGGTGAAAAAATGCTTGAATTGCTCCGATAGTTCCCGACGCGTTTTTGATACAAGATACTTCGCAAGCTGTATTGATGGTCAAACTGAAGCTGTGCGCGGCGCAATGCACATAAATTGCGAGAGGAAAAGTAAACCTCAAATAAGCCTGGGCTTCATGAAATTCGCCACTCGCCGCTGGAGCTCCGTCTTATCTTTGGCCGTATATGAATGAGCAATCCACGCCGATATCGGATATTTGTGATATCTGGATATCAGATAATTCCTGATGGAATTTGCCAGAGCTTGTCCAAAAACGTAAACGACGGGAACAAATCCGAGGAAATCCTCACAAATATTTGTTTGTGAATTCAATGGATTCAAATTGTTTCGTGTGCAAATGGAAAATTGCTCTATGCTTGAAATGTCAGTCGATCCTTCGGCTAAAACTGAGAATCCTTCCGAATGATTTATTCGAACAACGATTTTTTTATCAATTCATGACAGATGCGATAATTTCATTGTGAATGGTTTTGCTCAAATATGTTGAATTTTTCGAAGCAGACAAAAGGTTTTTCTTGAGTGTTTCGTCACCTTCAGCTTGATACCGTAGAATTGCACCAAAGTTTCCTTTGTACGAATATTTTCCATCAGTTTTATCATCCGCATTTGGTTCCTCTTCATTATACAAACTTTCATCGTCTCTACGGACATGAAGTGCAATTTCTTGACGTCCACATAAAACTATTGCAATAACTATGGGTTTCAGTCGTTCGTAATTTTCTTCTTTAGTTTTTTCTTTCATTAATAAAGTTAGTTTTGCCAAGCTGAATATCGCGTAAATTTTCAAAAGCAACGATGGATTTTTTATAGTAATGAAGTTTTTTGTGGTTCCGAAAAGTTTCTTTCGCGTGCTTCCAAGTGTTGAACGGCTTCTTGGTGCGTTTCCCCAGACGTACGTCGCAAATTCCACCGGTTTTCACGCCAAAAGGTAGGCAGCACTTACATTGTGCGCCATTTTCTTTCGCTGAATATGCCAACCAGTGAAATTCCTCAAGCCATTTTCTTTGGAAAGATAAATTTTTGGCAGTTGATGTCGAAAAATTAGCTGGTGGCACCCACGAGTCGTCGATAATGTTCAGGATTTCACACGCGTTCCTTGTATTTCAAGCATTAGACGTAGCTAGAGCGATGTCGTTTTTGAATGGAAGCAATTCTATTTTGTTTTTGTTTGTATCTTCGGAAGTCGATTGTTCTCCAGTTTCCGATAGATTATCTTCGAGGTTAGGCTACATTTTCAATCTGTGTCAAAAAAATATGGTTAGCTAAAAACTAATGACAATCTTCAGTTTTTTCAGTGCCATCTTTACATTTTAGACCTAAAATCAAAACAATGTGTAAAAGTTAAATTGTTTGTAGTTCGGTGAAATAAAAAATGTAAATTTTATTTTTATTTATACAACTTGGTGTTAAACCTTTATTTATTAAACGTAATTATTACAAGACACTTTTGATTTCTTTTAAATATTTTTTTGTCAACCGTTCGCGGTCTCGGTCAAAAAGGGACTTACTTCTTAATTCTAAATCTGATCCAAAGAACCTCGGCCATCAGTTGTGTTTAGATTAGAGGCTTACGATGAAAATGTCGCATCTTATTGTGAAATTCGATTAAGCTGATCGATGCAATTTGGTGGGTACTTGAAACGCAAAAGGCGTAATTGATTGGGCTTCGGAGGAAAGCTGATGTTTACTTTTGATTTTGATTTGTTTATGGGGAACCGAGATCGGACCTCAGAGCCGAAGACAAAGCCGAAAGCAAATGCAGAGTTTAAAAATATTGTTTATAAGATTCATAAGTGGAAAGCCATAAGTGGCCTGTATTTACGGGTTGGATAACTCTGCGCCTTCTAAAATGGATCGTCCCGATTCAATATGAAATTCGTTTAAATGATCTCTTAATTCTGTTTAAAAATTTTCTTGATTAATAGATTTTTCTAGTTTAAGCCGATGTTTTTTGGTTACAAATAATATGGCACTTTTTTATTTTATATTAAGTGAAAAAATCAAATATATAATGATTAAAATGAATAATATAAAGTTTAATGATATTTTTGTATTCTTAATTTGTTATTAAAAACGAATCGTTTAGATGGAAGTTGTTAACAACATTGTTCCCTTTTATAAGAATGGCACCATCTTGTATGATGTCTATTTTTATACCCTTACAGAGGGTATTATAATTTTGGTCAAAAGTGGAAGAAGGAGACATCATCGACCCTCTAAAGTATATATCTTCTTGATCACGATCACCTCCTGAATTGATATCACGATCGGCTGCCATACAACCGAACGATCGGAAATGGTTTTTGGTAGAAATACCAACTTTGGTGCTTTTTGAGACTTTTTTTTAAATATTTAAAAAAAAAGGTTTTATTATTAATTGGTAATTAATTGGTTTTATTATGATATTCTCATAAAGATCGGCCAACTATATCCTATGTTTGCGATTTATATCCGGTTTTAACTGAAAGGGTATATCAACTTCGGCTCCGCCCGAAGTTAGCTTTTCTTCTTGTTTTTTATATTTTTCTCTTATTTTTTTACAAGTTGATTTCTCACCATTCAATAAAATTCAATAATTATTTAAAAGTTCGTTCTTAAAATTAGACATTTCATAAAACATATTTTCCCATTTTGCGACTTGATTGCTCAATACTAGTTTTCCATCGATTTGGGAAACCGCTCTAGCGTGATATATTTCACATCTGCTTTACATTATTTATTGAACAATTTTGCCAACGGATAAATCCTTACACGGCTACATAATAACAACTTACAAACTAATAAATAATACTACAATATTAATAAAAACTTAATAAGTGACTGATTAACATGCGTTTAAACACAACCTTATCAGAGCCCCACTCAATACGGAGGCTAGCCATTTCTTGAACTTCCGACGTATCGTGGGAAGTCGGTTGTCCTCCAGTCTCCACTGGATTTTCTTCAAGGTTAAGCTTCTCTGCATTTTCAATCTGTGCCAAAAAAAATGGTTAGCTAAAAGTTAATGAGAATCTTCAGTTTTTTCGAAATTATTAATTGTATAAATAATAATACTACTACTACTACTACAACTACTACTACTACTACTACTAGCAAAACTACTAACTTTTCCGATATATTTATAATTTTTTATAGCAATTTTTCTTACCTGTTTTTCCTTTCAAGCCGGGTGAAATTGTGAGGCGTGTTTTCTCAGTAAGAGAACTTGGAAAGAGATTTTTCTCAACTAAAATTATACTAATCACTTATCAACTTCGGCTTGTTCACACAATGCGTGTTGAAAGAAACAAAGAAATAATTAAAAAATGCTCAAGCACGCTCATAGATGCCGCAAACATCAACAAAAAATTTAAAGAAAAATCGCACGACGCTGTCATCGCGACTAGGTTGGCGCGCAGTTTGAATTTGCAAACAAACTATATTGAATTTGCGAACAAACTATATGCACTGCCATATCGACTGGACAGCACCAATGGCTTTTCTATAAAAAGGTAGTCCAGCCGTTATGGTGACCTTTATATACGTGGTAATTATGCATATAACTTAAGAAAAAAATGTCTAACCCCCCCTTAAAAAAATTTGGACCCCCCTTTATCAAATTATGGCACTATGCTCCCATAGGCCAAAAATAAAAAAATTGATAACGGCATAAATGTACGAAAAGTAAACAAATCGCCTCTAAAATGTCCAAGATTCTTCATGACAAACCAGATTTTTCTAAAAATCTAAGGGGATTTTCTAAAAATTGATTTGAAGATGTGAACAGTTGCTCATTTGTAAAGCGCGCATCACGAATATTTCACAACTAAACCGCACTTTGAAGTGGTCAGATCATTATTTACGTGTTCAAATTCAAATTATTTCTAATGGATTTTGAAGTTGAAGGTATTTTCTATAAAATGAGATACAATTTGATATATTAATAATAATTATTGTTATTATTATATTACTAGGAACTAATGCATGTTTTCTGCCTATATTTTAAACGTATTTTTCATGTTTAGCTGAAATTTTAGTAGTGATCCCACAAAATTCTACCATTTGTTTATAAACCCATGTGTTTTTCGGTCTCCAAGGGTAACAAATGTGCAAAAATTTGTTGCCAAAATTTGCCTATATGTCTAATATCGTAAAAATACTAACACCATCTTAACATGAAAGTTGGGCAATTTCCGTTTTTTCAGTTATATGGCAGCTATAGGATATAGTCGGCTGATCCTTATGAAATTTGGCATGTTGTATTATTTTGCCAAAAATAGCATTCGTACCAAATCAAAATTCTCTAGCTTTAAAAATACCGAAGTTATAGCATTTTCTATCAATCAGTTATATGGTAGCTATATGATATAGTTGCCCGATCTGGCATATTATTTTTTTACATTTTTTACTGATTTTAACATATTATTTTAGAATAAGAATATAAATATTTTGTGCCAAGTTTCCATAGTGCGCCGCTACATAGAACATTTGTTTACTTCTAGTAAAAAACACTCACTATGGAGAGCTTACCCAACTCTGAGCTCACCGAAAGAAACTGTGATGCCTATTAGAAGTCCCACATGCGGATGGGCGCGCACAGATGACAAAAAAAATCCTACTGTCACTCCAACGATTTTGTTGATCTTCCAAAAACACCCTGCCACTAGTGCAGAATAATTGAAGTAAAAGAACAAAAATGCAAGCACCTCGACAGAAGACTCACATGGCGCCGGCACATTGAAGCTAAAAGATCACACCTAAAGCTAAAAGCCAGCAGCCTTCATTGGCTTGTTACCGCTCGGTCTCCCTTTGGCTTTGAATATAAAGTCCTACTGTATAACCCGGTACTAAAGCCTATATGGATGTATGGCTCTCAGTTATGGGAGAAAAAGCTATTGCTATTGCCAACAATAGCAATATTGACATAGTCAAACGAGCTCAGTAGAAGATCTTGAGAACAATCGCTGGGGCACCATGGTACGTTCGCAACGAATACATACATCGCGACTTAAACATTCTACCAGTCAAAGAAGTGCTCGCACAGAGAAAGAAAATTAACACTATCATCAATAAATTTGCAGTTTTAATCATTAAAATTAATTAAATTCGAAATAAAAAATAAAAATTATATGAGATTAGGCTCCATTTTACACTTACACTTAGTTGTCATAAATTTTGGTTTTCATTTTATCTATTGCAGGAGTGCCCAACATCTGCATACGGCAGAGCCAACTCCCATACCAATGCAAAAGTCACCAATACATTGGTGCGACAATTTTTTTTCCCATTCATGTGGGTGCACTGAAAATAAAAATAGTAGTAACATTCACAAGGGGTTTAAAAAAAATAAATGAGTATAATAAAAAATACATTTTATTTTAGCAATTAAAACATGAAAGGAAAGATATCTTCGGGCGGAGCCGAAGTTGATATACCCTATAGTTGGCCGATCCTTATTAGAATAACCAATTTATTACAATAAGAATCTAAATCTAAGAATCTACAATCTAAAACAAGAGAGGAAAACTAACTTCGGGCGGAGCCGAAGTTGATATACCCTTGCAGTTAAAACCGGATATGTATTGCAAACATCGAATATAGTTGGCCGATCCTTATGAGAATATCATAACAAAACCAATTAATTACAATAAAATATCTAAAAAAATACCAAGTTTCTATCTTCAAAAATACCAAAGTTTCTAATTCTACCAAAAACCATTTTCGATCGTTCAGTTATGTGACAGCTATAGGATATAGTTAACCGATCCTTATGTTATTTGGTAGTTTGGATCAACTGACCAAAAATAGAATCTTGAATCTAGAAAAGCGAGAGCTTTTACGAATTGTACACTTCATATAATAATATGGCGCCCAGGGTGTGGGGCCAAGGACATATAATTATATAAATTTGTGAAACGGTTACTTTGCCCTGAGCGGACGTTGAAGTAAGGTTACTAGACGCCAAAGTGAATTGCGAGACTCACTATGCTGCTCTTTTATTTTAGAGGTTTTAAGGATTC